GATTTAAAATGCTTGGTTTGTTAATATTTCAGTGCGAAAAGCAACGCTTGAAAGAGTGACTTACGAAAATGCGCTTTTGCAGCAGTTCAAGAAGTTTTTGCAGAAACTTGAAAAACTAACAGGTGCTGTGAATAAACGTGGACAAGGGCGTGTCACCGCACAGTCGGTGAAGATGGCCGAAGTAGCAGTGCAAAGTATGTGTGATATACTCGTCGCACATCCATACTTTAATTATGTACAGAATGTCGCACAGTTGTTGGTCTACATGTTGAACTGCCGCTATCAGAATATACGAGAAGAAATCAACAAGTGTTTCCGCACAGTATTTGCGAACGATAAGAAATTGGATATGACACTGTATATTGTGAGACGTATAAATCACTTGATAAAGACAAAACTACCGAATGTGCATGTGGAATGTCTCAGTTGCTTGCTTTCGCTTAAGATAAAAAATGTCAACTTAGATGCTGAGAAGGAGAATGAGTTGAAGCAAAAAAAGTTGGAGGCTCATCGGCAGCGTTTGATGAGTTTATCAAAGAAGGAGCGCAAGCGGAGGAAGAAATTAACCGAGGTGAATAAGGAGTTGGACGAAACGCGGGCGGAAGAAAATAAACAAACGAAACTATATAAACTGACGGAAGTAACCAAAATGGTTTTTACAATTTACTTCCGTGTTTTAAAAAATGATCCAACTTCGAAAGTGCTGAGCGCTATTTTAGAGGGATTAGCAGAGTAAGTCAATGTCAATAGATTTGTATGGAATTATTAAAACACGATTTGTTACGCTTTCTGTGATATTTGTCTTCCAGATTTGCCCACGTCATCAACATGGATTTCTTCTCAGACTTAATAGAAGTGCTGAATCGCATATTGGAAGAAATGGATCTTGGTTATCGTGAGCAGTTACATTGCATTAAAACCATTTTTGTCATACTCTCTGGTCAGGGTGAAGTGCTGAATATAGATCCTATTCGATTTTATCAGCACTTCTACAGAAATATGCTTACAGTAAACGCAGGAAAGAATCACGACGATTTTCGCATAATACTTGGCACCTTGGATGAAGTTTTAGTGAAAAGGCGGCGTAATATGAGTCAGCAACGTTTAATGGCGTTTATAAAACGCTTACTAACCCTCAGCATGCATCTACTGCATCACGGCACCCTGGCAACACTCGGCACTATAAAGACAACGTTCCAATTGACATCAATTTTGGATATTTTACTTGATACAGATACTAGCGTAGGATCCGGTAACTATGATCCAGAGTTAGAGGATCCCGAGTATTGCAATGCGGCAAGTACAGCGCTTTACGAGTTGACCTTGCTTTCACGTCATTATCACCCAACGGTGCGAAAGATGGCCATGCATATAGCAAGTGGTGTGCCGGCATCGGGAGAGGGTGCGCTGCCGCCGGAAATTGGCAAACTGTGAGTGATCGATATAGCTTGGGCGATTGTTATTTATATTTTAAATCTATTTTATTTATTCTCAGTACCTCCCACGAACTTTATGATCAATTCGATAGTACGCAGATGGTATTTAACCCAATCATACCGGTGCCAAAGCAAGCTGAACCGAAAATTAAAAAAGGCAGACACCAGTATATTAATTCCGATTTCGAACCTCTTTGCAAAACAGTTTTGCGAGCTAAAGAGAGCTCAGTAAAGGCTACAACGAAACATAAAAATTGTACGAAATTTGATTTTTACAAGGCTCTGGTTAATAAATGCTAATTCGATAATGTGTGTAGCAAAATATTAAGTAATTTAATATATGATGTTTATTTTAACAAAACTTGCTAAATAATATCCCAAATGGGTTCGATGTGTGAACTGCGTTTATTCATAAGATTTTTGAAAAAAAATTGTGTACTCCATACATACATACATATGTAAATATATTAGAAGCTAAAAGTTATGGAAATTTATCTCGAAAGGATAACAGCATTTTTTAACATAATAGTACGTACATATCCATTAAAAATACATAGGTGTGTATTAGGCCATGTACATACGTCGATCCATTCGATACTAAAACAAATTCGGCAACTGTCCATGGTTGTGGAACAACGCTTCCTCTAAGCAAATAAAAAGTCTATAACGATATTGATATTCCAGCGCCAGTGCCGACAGCTCGTCCACCAGAAACAAGAATTGGGTTTCGTGCGTTCCTGTACATACTTTGCTGCTCGCAATAATCCAGTAATCAGTGCGTATTTTCGGATGCTGCAAACGCACATGCAATAGGAATTTCATTGGATCATCAATAAGTCCCGTATAAATGACACTCATACAATACAAACGGCCCGCATTCGGTTCTAAAGTGGACAAGCATACTCTGCCTAAGCTCTTCATTTGCACAACGGAATTTTTTAAGCACTCAAATGCATATTCATCTTCACATAAAATGTTTATGTATGTATTATTGTTTGTCATGCTATAAAATAAGGGTGTTGTTTTTTTTAGATACTTGATAGTTTTCAATCGTCCTTAGGATTGTGGTGCGTATAGATTTGATAGCTCCTTTTGAAAGTAGACTCTTGTTTATATTTATCTCCGCTACAATTGGTTTATTTTTAAGTGTTGATTCCGGGTTCTCTTGTAATTCAGAATCAAAAAGCATTTTTAATACACAAATTTCACTGCGAAATTGTACAGCCAGATCATGGAGCATACCGGCTTGTACCGGCACGTTTGGAGGTTGCTCTTTCGTCTTTGGTCCAACGGACTCAGTTGTATTAACCTTTGGCGTAGTAGCTCCGGCGCGTACAGCTGCAGCACTTTCAGCTTCTGCTCGTTGCCGACGTCGCAAACGCTTTCGAGCTTTTTTTGACAAACTCGCCCCCTGAACATTATCTCCACATTGGCTAGATTGGTTGTTCATAGGTTGCAGCATTCCTATACCTTCGGTACACGACCCAAGACCATTCAAAAGGGCCCATCCAAGCAATTGTTGTACCACTTTCATATGTGCTTCATTAGCTTCATATCTTTGAGTGTTAACTTCCGCAACCAAATGCTCTTGAAGTTGATTCCTGGTCTTACATTGTTTTGCTTCTTTCGGTGGCATGACTGGTATTTTACACGCTCTATAGGGATGTTCTGTGTAGGTGCGAAAATTGAATTACTTTGTCACCAAAAAAATAGATTTTGTTGTAGTATTCAATACAATTTGTATATTTTTTTAGCTGGCGTCTTAAGCTTTAACAAAAGGTGTAACGTTTTACGACAAGTTTCTATGCTAAAATTGCACGCTCGAACTAAAATTTTCTAACGGTTCTGCCCCAAAGCTATTCACAGTAGCCATTTTCGTGCGTATATGCCAATGTGTATCTAACAAGGTGGTGTTGGGGCGACAGCTGAGTTTTT